TCTCCATCTCCTTCTCCATCTCCTCCTTCTCCATCTCCTCCTCCATCTCCATCTCCTCCTCCATCTCCTCCTCCTCCATCTCCTCCTCCTCCATCTCCTCCTTCTCCATCTCCTCCTCCATCTCCTCCTCCATCATCTCCTCCTTCTCCATCTTCTCCATCTCCTCCCCCATCTCCCCCTCTCTGTGTGTCTTTTCCTCCTCCCACTCAGGGTTCTTCCAACAACCCCCCACTTTCCCTCTTGTCCATACCACCCTGTTGTGTCACAGCTCAGTGGCCCCAGGCTCTAAGGCTGCAGCTGACCTGCAGATGTTCCAGGTGTGCTGCAGCCTGGGAGCTTATGTGCAGAAGCAGCTTGGTTGTGCTGAGGGTGGACAGGGCTCCCCCGGTGTCTGTCACAGGGGACAGCTGTCTGTGTGTTATGTCTTAGGTGATGGTCAGCAACCCACACTCCTTGGGGCTCGAGGCACACATCATTGAGTTTGGCAACACTTTCGACGGCAACTATAAGTACAAACTGGTGCGTGTCTGTGGCCACGTCAGGGGCCTTGACCAAAACCCCAGGCACTGTTTTTTCTTTGTTTTGTGTTAGTGGGACATGGTGTCCCTCTGTAGGCCAGGCTAGCCATGGACTATGTCGCCCTGCCTTGGCTTCCTGAGGGCTGGATACCAGGACTGTGCCACTTTGCCTGATCCTTCATGCCAGTCTCTTTGGTCTGAAAGGATCAGCCTTCCTCCTCCCTTCCTGCACAGCCCTCAGCTCCTCTGCCCTGAACAAGACATGCAGCCACCACCCACACATGCCCTGTCCCACAGGGGAGGCTGGGGTGCGCCAGGCGCAGGAAGCATGGGGAGAACCTAGGTCGAGGGCTGGGCTCTGGCCAGGGGCTGGGGGGCGGTCCCTCTTGTACCTGTCAGCCTCAGGGTTCTGATGGAACTATACAAGGTCACCTGGGCAAGCAGGATGCATCCAAGCGTTGGGACGTTAAATGTCAGTGAGGGGGGAGACGGAGGTGCAGCTCATGGGGGACACCAAGGATTGGTGTCCCAAGGGCCATGAGACCCTCAGCTCTGAGAGCTGGCAGAAGGCTTTTCCACGACACAGTGGGGCTGGACAGCTGACAGACAAGGTCCCACAGTGCCCCCCAGTCACCCTTCTCACACTAGCCCCGCCCCATTTGGGGTGACGTTGATGTGGACCCCTGCTGCAACTGGCTGTCCTTCTGTGTGTCTGTCTGTCTGTCTGTCCGTTTCTCTGCCCCTGCTGCCGTCCTGCAGGAGATTGAACTCAGACAGCAGCAGCAGCAGGACAGTGCGGACCTCAACTTCACCACCAGGTATCTGACGCGCTCTCTGGAGAGGGCTGGAGGCGCCTCCCCACTGCTGTCCACAGGGATTGCAGAGCCCAGCGGGAGAAGTAGGGATGAGGGCTACCAGGCGGGCCTCCAGAAGACGGTGATAAAATCAGACTGAAGTTCTGCATGGGGATGGGCCTGGAGCTCACGGTGGAGCAGGCACTCAGGGAGCATGCAGCCCTGGGTTCCAGGCCCAGCCCCCAGGTCCTGAGTGCGACAGCATGTGCCGTGTGTGTGTGTGTGTGTGTGTGTGTGTGTGTGTGTGTGTGTGTGCATCTGTGAGTCTGTGTCTGTGTGTGTGTGTCTGTCTGTGTGTGTGTGTGTGTGTGTGTGCATCTGTGAGTCTGTGTGTGTGTGTGTGCATCTGTGAGTCTGTGTCT